CAGCCAGGACCCGGCCGCAGCCTCCCCGCCTCCCAGGAGAAGCGGTGCGCTGCTCAGAGCGGGCCGCAGCCCCTCCCGGGGGCGGGGTGGGGGGGTCCTCCAGGGCTGAGACCCCAGACTTCGCCCACAAGCCAGCTCTCGGTAGACCTCTCTGCCACCGCTCCATCAGGGCAAGAAATCAGCCGTGCAGCTACCAATCAAATAACCAGGGAAGAAGGCCTACTGTGCACTGCTCCAGCGCCCAAGGGCGCCCCGAAAGCCAAGCCTGCAGTGACCCCAGGCCTCCGGAGGCCAGGGCGCAGACGCCGGGAGGGGCCATGCTCAGTCAGGGTGCTGAGTGGTGCAATGGCTTGCTGTGTGGCGCTGGGCTGGGGACGACCTCTCTGTGTCCCAGTCCCCTAGAGGACGGATGGGAGTTGACCACACACACGAGGAAGGGAAGAACCGCAAGGGGGAGCCCCAGGCGGGCATGCACAGTGCGGCGGGCACAGCCAGGGCCAGCCGCTGGACCCCGAACCCCTCAGCCACACCCCCCACGCCTTCAGGGGCTGAAAGGTAGGGGAGAAAGGGACCCCTGGGCCTCAGTCTGTGAGAGTGGGGGGCCCAGGCATAGGGAGCTGGTCCTCCAAGGCCTCACGCTCCGCAGGGACAAGGGCTTCAAGAGGGGGCCTGGAATGGCTGAGCACAGGTACAATCCCGGAGGGCTTCTTAGAGGAGGGGGCCTGCGGCCGCGGCAGCTTCCAAGACATTTTCAAAAGTTTCTCATCTCAAGGGACCCCCAACTCAAGAAAAAGATTCCCTATCTCTGCAAAACCTCTATTCCTTGAATTCTGGGGTACCCATGCTTTCCCTCCCCCCCCCACCCCCCCGCCATACAGCAAAAGACAACATCACTTCTGGGCTGCTGGGGCTGTGGCGCTGCCCAGGACTTGTGGAACCCAGGGCGGCCTTGGCACCAAGTTCATGAGCTGGAAACGCACGCTGGCTGACAGGCCAGGGCAAGACACACACACACACTCACACACACACACACACACACACACACACACACACACGGAAACTAGTTCCCGAGCTACGCGGACAGAGCCCCTAAATGGCCCGAAGAACGGAGGCCAGTCACGTACCGAGGAAAGGCTCAGGTCTAATGCAGAAGGAATTCGAAGCTGGTAACAGCTGGGCGCCGGGGGCTCACATCTGTAATCCCAGCTACTCGGGGATCAGGGTTCATAGCCAGCCCCAGCAGGAAAGTCTGACACCCTTTTCTCCCATTCGCCACTAGAAAGCCAGGCTAGGGGCAGAGCCCAAGTGGTAGAGCACCAGCCCTGTTAGCCAACCAGGCAACCGTGAGGCCCTGAGTTCTAACTCAGTACCTGCAAAACAAACAAAAACAACTACCAATAAAACCCAATGCTGGCAATGGGCCTCCTCCTCCCTGCCCCCTGGTGGTCATTTCTGTTCACTGCGCAGGAAACGCGGCGGGCCTGGAGCCTACTGGGGCTGGCGGCCGGGCAGAGCCCAGGAGGCTGTGCCCTGGCCCAGATGGCTTGTCCCCCCCCCACCGTGTGTCCCCAGCCCGTCACCCCCCAGAGCTGTGGGCCCCCAGGACTAGGATGGCTGGGGCCTCCTGTGTCTGCCTGCCTGTGAGCCTCCTATCTACTGTCTATCCATCAATCTATCTGTTCTAGTCCATCACCTGGCTACCTAGCATCGCCCCATCGAGTCTGTCACCGGTCTGTCGTCTATTCTAGTCTATTCTACGCTAGCATCTATCTGCTCCAGTCTAGCCTATCTCTGTCTACTCTATCCTAGCATCTCTCTGTATTTGCTCTAGCACGTGAAAACGACAATGTCACATTCAAATCTGCATCACCAGTTCTGCTTGGAAAATGGGACCCCTTCTTTGGACAAGGAACTGAGGAGAGGCCCCTTCCCCGCTGTCCTCCCAGGCGGCTCCAGGCTCGGGGTCTGCACCGGCTGCCGCTGGGAGGGGGGCTGGCATTTGGGACTCAGCGCAGTGGCCTCCCGCTCTCCTCCCTCTTTGTGCTGGTACTGGGGCTTGAACTTGGGGCCTGGATGCGGTCCTTTGAACTCAGGGTTGGGTGGGGCTCTACCGCTTGAGTCACAGCTCCACTTTCGGCTTTTTGCCAGTTAGTTCTCCGATTGAGATATGAGCCATCTTATGTCTTATCTTATCTCTCATGGACTTTCTTGCCTGAGCTGGCTTTGAACCCTGATCCCTGGATCTCAGCCTGCTAAGTAGCGGGGGTTACAGGCGTGAGCCACGGGAGCCTGGCTAGCACAGGAGTTTTGCTGCGCAGTCTGGAGGTGGGCTGGGTCCTCCCAGGACCACCCAGGCTACGCAGTCCCGTCCCTACCCAGACTGCCCCCCAGGGGTCCCCTTTCCTGTCTCCCCCTGTCCTGTCTGCTAGCCGGTCAGGACTCCACCCTGTGGCCCCCCCCCCATGAAGGACGAATGACCCTCCCTCTCATCGGGCTAGTGGGGGACACAGTGCCCCCCCCACTTGGCTGTGGGTGCACAGAGGTCTCATGCATGCAACAAGGATTTCCAGTGTGACCCGATTGGATACAGATGATGGCCGGCTGATAAGGAGAGCCGGCCCCGACAGCCTGCAATTCTGGAGTGAAGGGAGAAGGCGGAGCTGACAGACAGGAAATCAGCAAACAAACACACCAGAGAGTCAAGCCGGGGAGAGAGGGACACCCGGGCACAGGGCCGGACAAAGGACGGGATGCAGACAGGAAGCCCGAAGTGGAGACCACCCTAACTGCCATCACACCACACACTCACCTCCATGGGGTGTTTACGTGGTAGACAGGAATGAGCCGGGGGCACACTCCACTCAGCCCAGCATAAACAGCGAGGACTGGGCACAAAGACCCTACCTGAAAACTAGCCAGAGCCCAAGGAGCTGTGGGTGTGACTGGTAGAACACCGGCCTGGCAAGCACCAAATGATTTTGAGTTCAGACCCCAGCGGCGCCAAAAGCAAGGTGGAGTGGGAGACTGCTGGGCGCAGGTTTCCTTTGGGAGGTGGTGAGAATACATGAAATTACAATTCTGAACATCAAAAAAAGAAAGGGGCAGGAGGGGAAGAGAAGGAGGGAGGAAGGGAGGGTGGATGACGGATGGAGGATGGGTGAACTAATGAATATCAGAGACAAATTTGTGCACAGATAACCACCAAGTTCTCCCGATACCAACGCCTCAGCCCGGCCGGGCACAGCTCGGCGTCTGTGTTGGGGCCCTGGCTGGGCCATCTTTCTGGCCTGGCTGGTTTTCAACTGGCCGGGCGCTGGTGGCTCATGCCTGTAATCTAGAAACTCAGGAGGCTGAGAGCTGAGGATCATGGTTCAAAGCCAGCCTGAGCAAAAAAGTCCATGAGACTTATCTCCAATAAGCTACCAGAAGTGACGCTGTGGCTCAAGTGGTAGAGCACTCGCCTTGAGCTGAAGAGCCCAGCGCCCAGGCCCAGAGTTCAAACCCCACACAGACCAAAAAAAAAAAACAAAGAAAGAAAATGAACCTCCGTGGGCTGAGCTTTGAGCTGCCTAGCTCTCAGCCTCTCCGACCAGCAGGGGCCACACAGAAGCAATGCGCAGAACTTTCCCGTGTGTCAGGTGAACTTGGGTCTCACCACAGCCGGCCTCGGCCCCGCTCCGCCCCCCGCCCCGGCTCTGCATGGTGGAGACCCAGGCCCAGCAAGCGCGCGTACCACAGCCCAGCACCGGTGTCCAGTGGACTTCCTCTCTCGGCGTGGACTCTGGCGCGGACCGACCCTGCCAAGTATCTGCCCACGCGTGTGCCGTGACCTGTGGTCTCTCTGAGCCCGGCCAGTGCCCAGAGGCCGGGAGACTTGGGCCCTGAGGTTCCCGGCTGCCGGTGCTGTCGGCAGGCCCTGTCACCCAGATCCACCCAAGACACACACACACACACACACACACACACACACACACACACACACACACACACACACACACACACACACACACACCCCTTGACGTCTCCAGCAAGGAGCTCCGGAGAGAGCTGAGACCTTCCAGTAGATGAACACACTCAGTCCTTGTGAGCAACGCAGGCCTCTCTCCAGCCCAGCTCCACGCACCGCGCCATCCTGCCCACCCCCCCCCCCAGGGATGTGTCCTCTCTGACACAGGGCTGTCAGCCTTCCTCGTGGTCCCCTGGGCCACCCCAGGAGGAACAGGGGTGGCCACAGGGGCCAGGATCCCCGTGCACCTCTGCAAGGTCACCAGAGCCAGCTCAGGCCTCTGCCTGGGCCTCAGTTACACAGAGTCAAATGGCTGGAAAAAGGGAGAAGAAGAGAAGAGGAGGAGGAAGAGAAGAAGGAGGAGGAGGAGGAGGAGGAGGGGGAGGGGGAGGAGGAGAGGGAAGAAGAGGAGGGGGAGGAGGGGGAGGGGAGGGAGAGGGGCAGGGACAGGAAGCAAGTGCACCCACGAAGCTGCGGCACTGAGAATTCACCACCAGGGGGCCTCGCTCAGCTCCCACACGCACCACTTCCACCTTGTGGAAGGAGAAACTGCGTCTCCAGGAGACCCGCTAGGTGCCTGCCTGCCCCATGGCAGAGCTGGGATTCGAACCCACCTCTCTTAAGCCCCTGGAGGAGTGTTGCAGGCACGGGGAGGGGCGCCCCTCGTGGCCGCCCCCGGGACTGCAGGCAGGAGTCCCAGCCTCCCAGGAGCTCAGGAAAGGGGCAGGGCTCTGGGGCCTGGGGGAGGGGCCAAGGCAAGCCCCGCCTCCCGGGGGCCCCTGAGTGGCAGGGGAGGCGCCAGGGCCTGGAGCACTCTCCTCCCCCTGACCTGTTCCTTCACAGTAAAGCTCAAGCACCGTCAGGAAGGGCCGGCCTGGGGCTCCGAGGACAGGCCAGGGGCAGGAAACTGAGGCAGCGGAGCTGGAAGGGCACAGGATGGAAGGCTCCATCCAACACCACCCGGAGGTCACAGACGTGGCCGGCCTGGCCTCACCTCAACCCCCAGGACCCTCGCTTCCAAGCCCGGCCCCCGGCGAGAGCCAAGCCAGAGGACAGTGGGGACCAGAGACGCCACACCACAACCAGGCAATAACCGCAATGTGGGGAGAAGCCGCTGGGGGTGCGGGGGACCACGCCGAGCCCCCCGACCCCCGCCACGTTGGTCAGCGCTGTGGACACGATCGCCCCTCACAGCCGAGCACATGAAGGCCAGAGAAACGGCCCCCCACGCGCCACGCGGAGCCCTGAAGAACCAGGCCCACCACACAGCCCGAGCCAGGAGCCGCGCCCCCAGACTCAGCGCAGAATCTCCAAGATGCGGAGACAACCAGGCCCAGGATTCGAACCCAGAACCTTCAGACTGCAGAGCTGCAGGTCCTGCCCATGGCTAGGGTGGCATTCCCCCCAGAGCGCCTCCAGGTCCCCCCCCTCACCCCACAGGCCTGCCCACCCTTTCCCGGCCCCAGGACGCCAGGATTTTTCGAGCCCATGGCCACGCGCCCGCGGGCACCACTCACCACGCACAGCACAGCCCGCTGGTCCTGGCAGAGGCTCTGGCTCCTCCGGGGTCCGGCAGCCCCTGGCAACAGCGTGCGGAGGGGCTGCTCACTGCCCCGGGGGCCGCTGCTGCGGCCCACATCCCACGGGGACACCTGAGAACACAGGAAAGGGCCGTGTGGGTCTCCCGCCTGCGGGCCGGGTTCCAGGTGCCTGCCTGCGGGACTGGGCGCTGTGTGACCGCCAAGAGCGTCTCAACCTCTCTGTGCCAGCCACGTGAGGGAGTGATGCCATCACCAGCCAGCAGGGGGCAGGTCCTCTCCCCACCTGGCACGGGGGGGGGGGGCCCACAAGTGCCAGCCACCCTCCTTACCCTGAGGCTCACCACCGACACGGAGCTGTGGCTCCAGGCTTGAGTGGAAAAGCCAAGTGAGAGGGTGAGGCCCTGAGTTCAAGCTCCAGGACTGGCACAGTGAGACAGACAGACAGACAGACAGAGACAGACAGACAGAGAGACAGATAGAGACAGAGAGCACACAGAGGCTTTCCGGGGTTAAACCCGGCGTTGTCTAAAACGCATCATTATGTGAACATTTTTAACAGAAAATAGAAAGGCAGGTGGAAGTCTGTAGCTAGCAGAGATCTCCAGCCCAAGAACTGGCTCTTGGAAGCTCCCAGAAATCACACAGGGGACTCCAGCCGGTGGGGGCGGGTGAGGTCCAGCCAGGGTCCCTCATGCACACACACACACACACACACACACACACACACACACACACACGCATGCACGCACATGCACACACACACACGCATGCACGCACATGCACACACACACACACACACACACACACACACGTCCCCTTCACCTCCCACCCAGGACCCAGCCACTTGGCCCACACAGCCTTTGTGGGGAGGGAGGGGAAGAAAATGCTGTGGTGAAAGAAAGCAAGGGAGGGAGGGAGGGAAGGAGAGAGGGAGGGAGGGAAGGAGAGAAGGAGGGAGGGAGGAAGGAAGGAAGAGAAGGGGTCTCTGGTTATAACCACGTCCTTTGGGGTGTACACTCCCAAAACACAGCATGATTTCAGAAACCCTCTCCCAAGAGTGAGGGTGGGCCGGGCAGGGAGACTCGCTCACACCTGTAAATCCCAACAGCCCACGAGGCAGAGGGCAGGAGAGGCACAGACAAAGGCAGCCTGCAGGAAAAGCCAGCCAGACCTCATCTCGGTCAGCAAGCTGGGCAGGGCGGCACCCCCTGTAATCCCGGCTGTGAGGAAGGCAGAGATAGGAGGATCGCCGCTGGAGGGCTCGGGCCCTGGGCTCCTACCAGGAGATGCGGCAGGCGGCGGATGGGCCTGGTGAGCAAGGCTGGGCCCAGGGACCCATTCCCAGGCTCTCTTCCTTCTCCCTCGGCTCCCAGGACAGCACCCCGGAGCAGGGTGGGACCCCGCGCAGGAGGCCAGAGGCATGAGCCTCCCCTCTGCTCAACTCGGGAGCTGAGGGCGAGATTCTGCCCGGGGAGATGCGGGTTTGAATCCCAACCGCCCCCAACTTCCAACTTCAGAGGCACCTCCGTCCTGAGCCCACTGCTCTGCCCACCACACTTGGTCTGTGCGGTGCCCCTCTCTGATGCTCCGGATCTCTGCCTCCTGGGTAGCTGGGATTACAGGCATGCACCGCTGTGCCCGGCTTCAGATTCTCTTAGTAAACGAGACCCACCAGCTCCGAGCCCCAATGGTCACATGTGGAGAACTGGCCAATGAGCAGCAAATGCTGCGTCCAGTGGGACCTGATCCCTCCATCCGCTACCATCCCCCCACCCCACCCCCAGAGGCCCAGCAGGCCCCTCCACTTGCTTTAGTTTGGGGGACCTGAGAGGCTGGACACTCACCGGCTGGCTGTCCGGAGTGGGGGGCTCCCGCCGGCACAACCCCGCCTGGGCCTCGGGCTGCTCTGGGGTGAGGCCGGGCCTCCCCCTCGGCTGCTCTGGCCGCCTCTGCGCGGCCTCCTGGGCGGCGGCCAGGCCCTCTCGGACCCTGGCAGGGGATCCCTTCTCGGAACAGGCCCTCTTCACATCCAGCGGCCTTCTGGGCTCACCCGGGGGGCCGCTCCACGGGGCCAGGCCGTCCCCCTGCCCCCGCCTGCTGGGTGTCCGTGGGGGGCCTTTCTTCGCCTCGGCGGGGGGTGACTTGGGGGCCACCCAGGTCCCGCTGCTGCCGGCATCCTCCCCGCCAGGGGGCTTGGCCCCGGCCGGCTGGCTCTGGGACTTGGTCGCCACCGCGCCCTGTCCTTCCTGGGTGAGGGCAGAGACTTTCCTTGGGGGGCTGGAAGCAGCCTGGGCAGGAATGGACAGGGGCGGGCCCCACAAGGGCGAGGTGAACTTGGGGGGCCCCAGGTCCCCCATCTGTGGCTTGTTGGGGCCAAAGGTGGGACTATCTGCCATCTGGGCCACGCTGGCTCGTTTCCAGGCACCCTGGGCTTCGGGAGCCAGGCCGCCGGGCCGGGCCGGCCTCTCCGGGGGCCAGGTGCCGGCCTCCTCCGTGGGGCTGGGCGGCGGGGCCCGGGGCTGGCCGGCGGCGCTGGCGGTCTTGGCCTTGTACTCGGCCATCAGGGCATCAAGGTCGAGGACGCTGGGCCTGTAGGCATCTTTCACTTTTCCAGGGAAAGTGTCACTGATCACGCCGGTCTTCCTCCTGCCCGGCTGTCCGCCGGCTTGCCACTGGCTTCTCAGGTCAGGAGAGGCCTGGGGGCCACTCAGGGTCCCCTGATGCCAGCTGTCTTTCTTGGGGTTTGGGGGTGCAGAGCCGTCCTGCAAGCCCGGGGGTATCCACAGAGCGCCCGTGGCCAGCGGCCTGTCCCCGGGCCAGTCCCGAACCCCGTCCCCCACGGACCAGGGACGCTCCGTGGCCTTCCTAGCCTTGGGCGCCGTGGTGGCGTGGTCGCCTCCGCTGCCCGGGGCCCGGGGCTTGCTGCCCGGGGGCCCCGAGGGCTGTTCCTGGCTTGGAGGAACCACAGCAGAAGGGAAAGCATGGGGGGACGCAGCCAGGGCTGTTTTTCGAGAATGTTCCGGCAAGTTCTCAAGCCCCAGCTTCACCATGCTCTTCGCCTTCTGAGTATCAGGAATCTGGTAGGTCACGGCAAAAAACGTGGCCGGGGGCTCCCCGGGTGACCCCAGGGGTCCTGGCGAGGCGGGGGACCGCGAGGGGCCTGCGGGTACCCCCCGCGGCTCCGGGGGCTTCCGGGGGGCGCCCGCCGGGGGGGACAGGGGGCCTCTCTGCTCCGCTTTGTGCGAGTTCTCTGGGGGGAGGAAGCGGAAGACATCGAACTTGGTGGCGTGGGGCAGAGTCCGCCGCCTCCACCTGTCCGTTCTGGGGTCCCCGGGGTGGGGTTTCCGCAGCTTGACCCCAGGCTCTGGCCCCCGGGCCGGCGGAGGGTCGCCCGCCGAGGCAGCTGGGAGGGGCTCCTTGGCCTCTGGATGTCTTCGAGCTTGGGGTTCACAGGCCTGGTCCTTGCTCCAGGCCGGAGGCTCTGGGGTGCCACCCTGAGCTGGCGCCCGGTCGGCTCCAGGCTTGTGCCCAACCCCGTCCGGGCCCTGGCGCTGGGCCTCCCAAGGGGCGGCTTGGGCCACCTTGGTGGAGATGTCCCGGCGAGAGCAGGTCTCCTGGGCGCGGGCCGCCGCGGCGCTGTGCCAGGGTGCCCCTGCCCCGCCGGTCCCCCTGGGTGCCGAGCAACTGCTCCCTGGGGCGGCCCCGGGCTCCTGGAAGTCGAGCTTCGGCCCGATGCTCTCTTGTCCTCGAGCCTCCCAAATCAAACTGGCCCTGTGCACGGCGCCCACCGGAGCCTCAGGCCCGTCCTCGGGGGCAGCAGGGCTGACCTCCTGGGTCAGCCGCCGGCCCTGCAGTGAGCGCCGGGACCTGGCACTGTGCAGGGTCAGCGCCTTGTCCCCCACGGCCGTGGCCACTGCCTCGCTGTGAGCCTTGTCCCCGATGGCATGCACGATGTCCAGCCTGGGCTCCACCCTCTGCACCCAGGGGAGACTGGCCGGGTGCTTGGGGAGGGAGGCCTGGCCGCGGCTGTCCCCCACCGTCGGCTTTTCCGGTGCTGGCGCGGGGCACGGTCCGGGAACACAGTCAGAAAGCACGGCCTGGCCCGCCGGCCACGATCCACCCCCAGGCCTGGATCTGGGACTCGAGAGGCTGGCTGGGAGGTGGGCACCCTGCTCAGCCACCGAGTGCTTCTCCACGTGGTGCTCAAACATAGTGGCCCACACCGTCTGGAAGCTTCCCTCGCCCTCAGGGGAGACCCGAGAAGCCTGCCCAGGGCTGTCCGGGTCCTGGCTGGAGCCGGCGTGGCACTCTGTCTGTCTGGACGCCTTCTGGGGGTCCCCAGGCTTCCAGGGGCTTCGTGGGGTGGGGATGTTCTCCATCTTCTGCTGGGGAAGAGCACACAGCAGTGTTAAGAGGACCAGAGGAGAGGAAGAGGCCCGGAGGCAGAAATGGTTGCTTTTCCTGCAAAAACCAGGAGTCCCTAACACACCAAAGGCTCCGCGTGGGAGTGCGGGTGAGGGCGCGGGGCCAGGGGACAGCGCGGCAGGCCTTGAGCGACGTCATCGCATTTTACCTAATGGTTGACGTTTACCTATATTTGATTACTTAGACAGTGCTAGGTCTGGCATTTTGTTGTGTTTTGTTTTGAAATTTCTGTTCTTGTTTTGTGCTGCTCCTGAGGCTTGAACTCAGGGCCTGGGCGCTGTCCCTGAGCCTGTTTGGCTCAAGGATACCACTTGAGCCACAGCACCACCTCCAGTTTTCTGTGTAGTTTACTGCAGATAAGCGGCCCACGAACTTACCTGCCTAGGTTTGCTTTGAACCTCGACCCTCAGATCTCAGCCTCCTGACAAGCTAAGATTACAGGCGTGAGCCACCAGCGCCCAGCCGTACTTACTAGGTTTTGAATTCAGGGCCTTGGCATTTGCCAGGCAGGTACTCTGACACTTGGGCCATGCCAGCTACTTGCATAGCCACGTCCCTGCCACAGCCACGTCCTATCTGCATGGCCACACCTGCAGGAATCACGCCCAGAAGGAAGCCACACCCCTGTGTAGTGGCCACGCCCCTAACTCATGGCTGGCTCCCTACTGGACATGGAAGTCCCTTGGCAGGCCACGCCCCTATGGGGAAGCAGGGCCCTTTTCTGCTAAGCCACGCCTCCAGTCCTTTTTCCCTGCATTGTTTTCAAATGTCACCCTGTGGAGATGCCTGGATCACTACCTGCCTATTTATTCTTCCCACGTCACTGGGGTGACAAGCACGTGCCTACGGGCCAGGCTGTTGGAATGGGATCTTTCACTCATTACCTGGCCTCCAACTGCAAACTCTCCCAATCTCCACCTCCCTGGAAGGATTACAGGTATGAGCCACCTGCTCCCGGCTAATAAAGCTGCCCAAAAAAGAATTTAAACTGCCAAAACATCAACCACAAACCAGTTATACCAAGCAGTTATTTTGCAAGTTCTTTCTTATTGAACAGGTAAGAGAGAAATATTTTCAACTCCTTTCTCTTGGAGGGCAAACTGAGGTGAGGATTAAACAATCATTAAGAAGAGAACAGGAGAGAACATTCTAAAGCTAAGGTTTAGTGGTATAATAAAAACAGAAGCTCAGCCGGGAGAGGTAGCTCAAGCCTGTAATTGTACCTACTTGGGAGGTGGGAGGTCAGGGATCCTGCTTGTGAGCCATCTGGTGATAACAAATTCAAGAGACTCCATCTCCACCAATGACTGAGCATGGTGGCCTGTGCTTGTACGCTCAGCTCTGACAGCAGCACCATGGCTGGGCACAGTGGCATAAGCCTGCCATCCCCAGGGACACGGGGAAGAGAACCACAGCCCAGGCTGGCCCAAGGGTAAAGCAGGATTGTACTTTGAAAGTAACTGATGCAAAAATAGGAGTGGGTGGCGTGGCTCAAGTGGTAGAGCGCCTGCCCAGGGAGTGCAAGGCCTGGAGCTCAAACCTCAGTAGTGGCAAAAATCAAAACAACACAGGAGCTCCTAACACCGCCTCATCCCTCTTCTTTGCACACAGAAAAGAGAAATACATGACAGTTTCATTTGCGGACAGAATTTGACACCAGGAGGGAGAGCGTCCCAAGGTGGAAGGAAGAGGTGTCCTCTCGTTCACGCGAGAGTCGGCGTGAGGTCTCCCGGGTCACAGTTGCTCTCTGTCCACAGGAGTAACCTCACCCTGGGAACCAAGCGGTAGGAAAATACCCGCGGCTTACCTTTTCTCTCCGCTCTGAACCCAGCGCAGCACATTTCTCATATCTGATCTCGCTGCTGGGAGCCGAACCTGAAAACCTGAGACAGAGATGAAGGTCCATACATGGGTGGATGGATGGATGGATGGAACCAGAAGCTGTGAGGCCCCTTAGCCCAAAGAGCTCCAGGAGCTCAGGGGCCCAAGGGAGAAAGATACCCGGATGTCCATAAGCCACACTGCCCCCACCCCACCCCCATTTCCTTGTGGAGAAGAAGGCGGTGCCCTTTCTTTTTACCGTAAGCAGAGCATCTCTGGCGTGGAAGGGACCTTGGGCTGGCCCCGGGGGAGACACCCGCGGGGGTTCAGGGGAGCCGGTCCCAGCTGCTTCTCGCTGTGGGAGCTCGGCGGGGCGTGTGACCTCACCTGAGTTCCTCCTCTATAAACTGGGGATAATTAGCACCTCCCACTCTCCTCGACAGGGCAGATACGAGGCTACCCGTGACCCTAATAGCTACGTGGAGGCGTCCGGGAGAGACTAAAGATGCCTGGGGAGAGATAATGAATGGTTCTCCTTGGCAACCCAGGGCCCGGCCAGACGCCCACTCTTCCTGGTCTGCACACTGGCCGGAGACGGGACGGGGGCAGAGGGCGGCTAGGCAGCAGGGAATGTCGGGGGGTGCTGTCCCTGCCACTCTGGGTGACCGGGGTCAAGCCAGTGTCTGACTCATCTGACCCAGTTATAAACGGAGTGTGGGGGGGGGAGATCTAGAATCTCTGGGATACATGGCTGAAGAAGCTTCCTGAGAGGCGTGGGGCTGAGAGGTTGGAGCGCACCCTGGACCCCATCTTTCACACAATCCCATGTGTTGCCCCCACCCCGGGCACACAAGGCACAGTGGCAAAGGGTCCTCAGCCCAGAGGTTCCGCGTCTTTGCCGTCTTGAGCTCAGCGGTGCTTTTAAAAACTTACCAAAACATTAGCCTTCCCAGGAGACACTGAGGCAGGGCCTCGTGGGGGGTCAGTGGGGGTGGGAGAACTGGGTAGTCCTGTGTGATTTTAACAGGGTCTGACGTGGGCCCTGCAGGCTGCCCCTCCCGGAACAAACTATGTGGTGACACTGCTCCTGGGCGGGAGGACACCCAGGGAAACAGGGCAGGGGAGGCAGAGGCCAGCCAGGCTTAGAACCAACAGGACTCCCTGCTTGGCCAACGTGTTAGGGATTTTTGCACTGATTGGCCAGTATACTGTGGGCTCCGTTGCTGATTGGCCAACATCTTATGGACTTACTCACTGATTGGCCAGCATGTCACAGCATTTTTCACTGATTGGCCGGCATATTACAGGCTCATCTGCTGATTGGCCAATGTTTTTCACACTTATGCGCTGATTGGCTAGCACATCATGGGTTGCCCTGGAGTGCAGCTGAGGAGGCCCGGGTTCCTGGCATTTTAATCCTGGACAACTTGGGAGTCCTCAGCCTACTCCCAGGTAAGGCCTCCAAAGTGGAGGGAGCGGCGGGGAGGGGAGGCAGGCAGGGGGGTCACCCAGGCTACCCAGGCTCTGCTCATCGGTTCCCACAACATCCATGGAGGGTGTGTGTGTCACCACTTACACTTTGGTCAAATCCGCTGACCTCGGCCGAGCCTGGAGCGCCCTCTTCCCGATCTCCACCTTCTCCTCGGCACTCTCAGCTGCCCAGCCTTTGATCCGCTCCTGGACACTCACACCTGCCTTCGCCAACTTCGGTGCTGCCAGAGGAACCTCGGGGGTGGCCACGGTGGCTTCAGATCCCGCTGCCGGCGCCAAGGCCCTCTCTTCCCCAAACAGGCTCAGACGTTTCTTGACGCTGCTCATGGGCATCCACTCTGCCCCCACGGAGGCCTCCTGGTCAGCCCTTTTGCTCTTGGCCTCGGCGGGTCCCGGGCCTCTTCCTAGCCAGACAGGAGGGGCCTCAGGCACTTTCTGGGGCTCAGGGTCCGGCCGGTCTTTCTCTTCCTCAGGACTCTGGTCTCCTCCCGAGATGGCCCTGGCATGGCCCCCTCGGGTTCTGGGGCTGTCTGCCTCTGCCTGCTTCAAGAGCATCTTCTCCTTCCGGTCTTGGATTTTCCTGGCCACTTCCCAGAAATCTGCGTCCAGGTCCAGCCGGGAAGAAGCCGCTGGGACGTCCACTGTGGGCTCAGGACTGGCCCCTTCTGCAGCCGGGCGCTCGGGCCCGACGCCCCTCCTCAGCAGGACCTCCCTGCTCTCGAAGCGGCCTGTGAGGTCCACAGACAGGGGCCGGGGCTTCCTGACCCAGGTCTTCTCGGGAGGGACGGGGGGCGGCTTCCCCCCGAGGGCCGCCCCACCCGGGCCTGGCCCGGGAAGCAGCAAGGACTCGGTGAAGACGGCGGACACGGGCCTCCTCCTGGGTCGCAGCCGGGGCCCAGGTGCGTGGCCCTCCTCCTCGTGCTGGGGGGCAGCCGATCTGGCATCCAGGGACAGGGAGGCCGGCCGGGGGAGGTTCCCGGGGGGCTTGTGAGTGGGCAAGGCCGGCTTGACGGCCAGCTGGGGCCTGGAGCTGCAGGGAGGGTCGCGGGGGACACTCGCGCGGGTCCCCAGACACGGCTCCCCGGTGCCCATCCCCACCGGGGGACCGGCAATGTGGGTGTCCAGGACAGCTACAGAGGGGCGCAGATCGGAGGCCTTGTGAGGGGAGGCCGAGCCGGCCCGGGAGGCCTCCCCGCCGCCCACCTCCTGCCCGGCCAGGCTGGGCATCCTGCCGTCCGGGCCCCGCGAGGCCGCCTGGGGGGCCCCGGCGGGACCGGGCCTGGACGGGCCGGGGGCTCCCCAGCGGAGGCCCTGCTCTTTGGAGAAGGGTTTGGGGGTCAGTCGAGGCAGCGGGAAGCAGCGGGCGGGGGTCCTGAGGACACGGGCCGAGGGGGCCCTGGCAGGGTCCCCGGCCGGGTAGAAGTAAGTCCTCTTCAGGGCCTCGTCCTTGGCGAAGTCGCGGAGGCCGGGCACCGCCGTGAGGAGAGAGCCCACCTCCACCATGGCGACCGCGGCAGACCCATGGGCTCCGAGGACACCACAAGCGGACAGGCGACTGTTCACACCCACAAGGAAAAAGAGAAAGAACAGGGATGTAGCAGGCCACCGCCATGCAGGCCCGGGGATGGAACCCGAGGCCTGGGCCCTGGGCATCGGATCCTGACTGGGAGCCGGGGCGGGGCGGGGGGGACAACAGGGGGACCTCCTCCCACAGGCACCCAAGTTCTCCAGGCCTTTCCAGTTCAGCAGAGCAGGAATCAGCACAGAGAGGCAGAGCAGAGGGCTTGAGCAGGCTCAGCAACCAAGAGGCAACCTGGGATTCGAACCCAGGTCCGCTTCTATGCTGGAAGTGTACTCTCCTCACATAATGTGGGGAGGGGGGCATGTACTTGTTCTTCTATTCCTACCCACATCTCAGATCCCTGCTGAGCCTCCTTCCCTGCCTAGAGCACCCAGCACAGAGAAGGTGAGTGGCCAGCCTCAGCTCATACAGCAATGTGAAGCAGGCTTTTCTGGAATCCCAGGGTGTCTGGTAGCTCATACATAGGCCCCAACCGCACGCCCCACCAGGCCGCCCCTCCGCCTCCCATCTTCCCTCCTCCGTCCTTCCAAACTTCACAAAACAAAAGCTGTCACTTTCTTTTTGGTCCATCCTGGGGCTTGAACTCAGGGCACTGTCCCCTCAGCTCTTCGGCTCAAGGCGAGTGCTCTACTGCGTGAGCCACAGCACCACTTCTGGTGTTCTAGTGGTTTATTGGAGATCAGGATCTCATGGACTTTCCTGAATGGACTGGCTTTGAACCGCAATCCTCAGATCTCAGCCTCCTGAGTGGCTAGGATGACAGGCGCGAGCCACCGGCGCCCAGCGAGCTGTCACTTTTCTAGGTCTGCAGGTGTTGAACCATCTCGGGTTGGCTGCCCTGCTTTCTGGGTCCCCCAGTCCCCCGGCGTAGGCTCACAGAGGGGGACGGAGGAAAGGGGGCCAGAGAGATGGCCCAGCATTTCCATAATCACACAGCAGAAACTCCACCTCCAACCCTGACCCACTGAGTCCTGCTTTTGGGAACAGGGTTTCTAAGTCTCTTCTGCTCCTAAAATGTGACAGACAACTGAGCATGCCCCCCACCCCGGCCCTGGCTGCCCCCCTCCCCGGCTCCCCATCTTTGGTGCCCGGGAGAGGAGAAGGGGTTTTCCTTGAGCCCAGCCTCAGCTCTGACTCACGGGCCTGCGGGAGGAGAGGCAGACGGAGTGGGATATTTTTATGTTGTGATGCTGACGGATTCCATCTCCCCCCAGCCCAGACACAGCCCGGAGGGCTGAGAACCGAGACGCTGCGCACGGAGGGCTCCATCTACGGAGTCCCCGGCTGGTGACCACAGCGTCCGGCGTCCGGGCCCAGCACTGGCCTGGGCACCGGAGAGCCGGGTGTGGTCCGATCGCCGCCCGGGGGTCTCCCAGCCCAGGGGACCTGCCGTGGGGGACCGGGGAAGCCGCCTGGCAGGGCCAGCGGTGCCCCCAGTGCCCAGGCACCGCGCGCCCCACGCCCGGCCCGAGCGGGCGGGCGCCCCACTTACCAGAGCAGGGGAACGCGGGGGCCAGGGAACACGGGGAGCCAGGTGGAGGGAGTTCAGGTCAGCGCCCCCGGGGCACGGCAGGGGCTGGGGGGCACCGGGGACAGCTCGGTCCCCTGACTGCCAGCCGGCAGGGCGGGCACAGACGGCGAGCGCGCGCTCCGGCTCCCTGCGCGGCCGCTGGCACCGACTCCAGCTCCGAGACGCACACACTCCTTCCGCTCTGCAGACACACAGCCTCACACCGCGCGCGCGCACGCACGCACACACACACACACACACACGGCTGCTGCACTGCACACTCAGGGTCCTCACTCACAGTCGGGAGGGGGGATGGCGGTCCCCCCCCAGGGACCCCTCAAGGGGCGTCCTTGCCTCTGCCCGGCTGCCGGACAGGGCCTCCCAGATGCGGACCCACCTCGGAGGCCACAGCTCCGCATCGGGAGGAGCGTTTACTGGGACACCGTCCCTCCCATCACCAAATGCTCCACTGATGAACGGAGGAGCACGCGCGTGAGCGAATGAATGGATGAGTGGATGAATGAGTGGATGGGTGACGTCCTGACCCGGGGCCCTTGGCCAGCGAGCGTGCGCTGCCCAGCAGAGCCGCCCCGGCCGGCCTGCCCCCGTCCCGCCACAAGGGGGCGCTCTGGGCTCGGGAGAGGCGGCCCCGGGGCGCAGGGGCGGCCACGGAGACCGCGCGGGCCTCGCGCTGACCCCCCCCCCCGCGCTGACCCCCCCCCCACCCCGCGCCCCCACCAGGCCTGTCAGGGCCGCAGACAACCCCGGATCCCTGAGGAGCCCCGGCCCACGGGGAGGCTGCGTCTCCGGGGAGGGGTCTTGGAGCTCTGACACCCCCTGCCGCCCTCCCCCCGCCCCCCCCCGCTGGCACCGCGAGCACCCCCCCCCCCGCGGGCCCGCCGCCCCCCTCTGGGAGCCTGGCATATGTTCATGCCGATCACCAGGGGCCCACGCGCGGTGCGGCCAGCTGCTGCCGGTTCCGGGCTGGCCTCGCTCCTCCTGCTAAATACATCCGTGACGCACGGGGGACAGCGCCACGGAGCCGGGCGGCAGGGCCCCGCCGCGGCCTGCACACGCATGCCCGGACGTGCAGCGCTGGGCTCTGAACCCAGGGCCTCCCGTCTGCTCCGCAGATGCTCTACCCCCGGAGCCAGGCCTCCGGCCCTCCCCTCGGAGGCCTTCTTTCTTTCACAGGGAGCATCCCCACTTCGTCTAGGGATGGCCTCCAGCAGCGATCCTCCCCCCGGGCCTCCCACACAGCTGGGACTGCAGGTGTGAGCTGCCACACCCGGCTGATGGACTGAGATGGGGTCTCGGGAACCCCTGGCCGGGTCTCACCATCCACCCATCCACGTGATGTCCACTATCCCTGGGTCGTCCATACCCAGCTCCTCCCATCCTTCCACTTGGACGGTGACAGCCCGGCAGGAGCTGGGGGCTGGCCTGAGCTCCGCCCCAGGCCTCCGGCTCGGCAGGGCCCACTCCACACACAACACAACCCTAAACACAACCAGCGCCAAGGAAGGGCTGCTGAGGGCAGGAAGTCTGGGACTACAGGCAGCGCCCCTGGTCCGGCCTGAGTCACTCGGAGGAGTCTGGGGCTGCACAGTGGTGATCGGGGGCAAGGGGGGGCTCCCTGCAGCTCTGTCTGAGACCCCCACCCCCACCCCTCCAAAAAGCAGGCCCCACACTGCCACCCCTGGTGCCCAGGCCGCATGGGGCTTGGGATCACGGGAAGAAGGTGACAACTTCCATTCCGGCTCCTTCCTGCGGGTCCTGCTGTTTGGGGTGGGCTGACCGTGGGCAGGAAACCCTCGTGCGGGCTCTGTGTTCCTTCCTTCCTTCCTCCCCTACCCCCCCTCCCCTCCCCTCCCAGTCCTCCCGTTTGTCCTCTCTAGATCCGGGTTTAGTAAAGGGTCACCTGCAAGCTGCGTCCCGCCCTGCTGCCCACCTGGCTTTATAAATAAAGTTTTATTGGAACACAGCCATGGCCACTCCTCACCCCGGTCCAGGCCCCGCCCCAGCCCCGGGGGAGGGGGGGGACGTCAGCAACAAAAGACGTGGCCACGATTGCTGTGGCATTTCATAAACAAGACGGCGACGCCCGCCCTGGACGCCCACCCCAAAACACTCGGCTCCCCACCGCCAGGACACCCCCCACTGAAAACAGTCCCTTCCCAGGACAAAGTGCACCTGTGTGCCACTGGAGCCACACCCCAGCCATTCCCTGGAAGGCTTCGGGGCTTTTCTAGAAGATTCTTGCTTTTATTCGGAGGCCATCCTAGACCTTACCGCTACCTCACACACAGCTGGGATGGCCGATGGGCCCATTACACCCGGCTTGTGCGTTGAGATGGGGTCTGGCCAATGTCCGGCCTTGAAAGGCGATCTCCCCCACCCCCATCAAGTCTCCGGGACTATGGGCGTGAGCCGCCGCGCCCAGCCTGAAGTCAAGGACCGAGCGGGCACTGGCCAACGCTGCTGGAGTCCACTGGGCTCTCAGAGTGGGGTCCGCAGGCCCCGCTGGGGGGTGCGCCACATAGGAACCCAGAGTAGGAAAAGAACCAGCGAGCCAAAGCGAGCCAAGCCCCCCCTCAGCACCCCTAAAGCGCGCTGGCCACCGCGGGGCGGGGGGGGGCCAAGCACCCCCCAAGCACCCCTAAAGCACGCTGGCCACTGCAGGGCGGGGGGGCCAAGCACCCCCTCAGCACCCCTAAAGCATGCTGGCCACTGCGGGGCGGGGGGGCCAAGCCCCCCCTCAGCACCCCTAAAGCGCGCTGGCCACTGCGGGGCGGTGGGGGCATTTCCCAGTGAATCCGAAGCTGGGGTTAGACCAGATGAGGGCCGGGCTTTGTTTTAAACATCTTAGAACCGCGTGGAGACCTTCAGCACAGCTATGCCTACTCAGCAAGTTCTGGGGTTTGAGCTCGGGGCTTCAAGTGTGCAAGGCAGTTGCTCTGCGGTCAAACCCTGCCTCCAGCCCTGGGTTTTGCTGCTTATTCTTTTACACCGGGCACCCCTGGGCACGCTCCCCAGGCTGCGGTGAGGGTCACCGGCTCTCATCACCACGGCTCTTCATTGAGACGAGGTTGTGTGAACTTGTCTCTCTGGGCAGGCCTCCACCTGCGATCCTCCCAACCGCAGCCTCCCGATGGTGGGCACGGCAGGTCTAAGCCAGGAGAGCCATCCTGTAAGGCCAACTTCCAAGGTGTTCAACGCTGTGACGGGAACCTCAGTGTGATGATCCCCCTCTCACCATGGATGCTGGGGTTTGGGGGAGGCCGGAGCCCTGTGTCCCCTAGGGACTCAGTCCCCAGCTGCCCCAGGTCAGGAGGGATAAACCCCAGGAGGACCCAGGCCCAGAATCCCAGCTCAGAGCAGAAGTGACCTGGAGAAAATGAACATATTTCCAATATCCTTTATGGGGCACGGTGTGGTGGCACACGCCTGTAATCTCAGCCAC